AAAAAAAACTCGCAGAAGAAAAAAAACGTCTGTGGACAGACTAGACTTTACGTTAACCTACTCTCAACTGTTGATTTCTATCAAGCTGAGTGACCAACACTACAAGAGTTTATTCCGGCCTCTGTAGCATTATGCTACTAGGAGTAATTCTACTCCCCACCCCACTTGGCCTGGATCAACTGCAGGATTTTCACTGCCCCATCATTAAATCTGTTACCACCCATGTACATTTATACACCTGCACTGTAGGTGGAGAGGTTCTGTGAGAGGAAAGTGTTTACGCCAAGATCACAAGAATACTTTGTCCAAGGCTTGAACCTAGACCACAAGATCTGGAATCATGTGTGCTAACTGTCAAGTTGCCACTCGTATGTCAAAAGCGGTACTTATGATAACCTAGCATTAATTTATTGTACCTTTGACATCTTTGTGAGTCTTGTCTTTTGGGTGTTATCCTCATTCCTATGCACATTAGAGTTATCATGGTGCGATGCATTCCCCTGATCTTGTTCTTTATTTAACTGATCTTCACTGTTAGAAACACCAGACAATTCATATTCATCAACTTTGTGTGATCTTTTCTCCTCAGATGTATTCGTTTTCCTCAGAACTTCCTCTTCTCTGTGAGAATCATTAGAATCTGCATTGTCTTCCATTTTCTGTGCTGTAATTTTCTTGGACCCATTGTTTCTCCCTAGTGCTTCCTCATTTCCTTTGCAATCATCCACCTCTGTGTCATCATTAATTTTCCATGATCTTTTATTCCCAGACTTACTATTTGTCCTTCTATTTTGTTCCTCGTCACTTTTTGAATCTGTTAACTCTACCCATTTATCAACTGCCTGTAAGGCCTTTTCTTTTGATGCAATTTTCTTTTTCCTTTGTCCTCTTTCTCCAACCGTTTTATGTAATACCTCCTTCTCAGAGACAGTTTTTCCTTTCTGTTTTTCCTCGTCAGACATGTTATTATTGTGACTGGACATTTCCCCTCTGTGAGAGCCTACATCATTAGCTATTCCATGGTCTCTTTTCTTCTTTCTTGAACTTGCAGATGAACATGATACCACAAGGTCACAAACATTGTCAGTTTCAGTTGTCATGTGAGAATCTTCCGAACTTGAACCTAAGTGACAAAACAACACAGGCAGGCAATTAAAACCTTGTTGTGTTAACCATAATTGAAAGGCAGGAGATAATCACTTCACGTGACTTTTTAGATCTCTTTTTTTAACGGCTCATTATGGATTGTTATTTTGTATAAAACCTCTTTTTACTGAATAATCAAAACACTGCCTTGAATAATTTGTTGCCATATTGAGGCCCTTGCTGGAAAATACCACAGATATAGTGTATATAGACAATACTTATAGGGCCAGAGTTTTAAGGGAGCAATGGAAGGTTCAATCGTTGAGAGTCCCATAAAGCGGTGCCCTTTTAAAAATAAGTCCGCAATGCGTACTTGTGGGCTTAGATAGTGTTATTCCATTCAGTTGGAGTTTGTTTTTAAAAGTCAGTATCTGGGAATTGAATTGCTATACTGTATGTGAGAAGGCAATCACTGCAAAGGTAAAGGTGTCACTTTGGAACTGGAGACATTGTACTCTTGGTAGAAAACTTGTGGCTCCTTGGTTGCTCTCTGGAAGTAAAACCAAACAAGAAAGACAGGCTTGTGAGGAGAGTCACGCTGAAAACCAAGTCCGCAGTCCTGGAACGTCCCATTGACANTAAAGGTGTAACTTTGGAACTGGAGACATTGTACTCTTGGTAGAAAACTTGTGGCTCCTTGGTTGCATCCTGGAAGTAAAACCAAACAAGAGAGATGGGCTTGTGAGGAGAGTCCTGCTGAAAACCAAGTCCGCAGCCTTGGAACATCCCATTGACAAGATTGTTCTTCTAGAGGCTGCTAGACTCCACGAGAGCAGCTAAACATCTGTTGATCTTGATGTCCTCAATAGACTGCGAACAGTCTCTTTTGCTCGGAAATCCGTGGAGAAGAAAGCAAAACAAGTGTGACTGTGAGCGTGACATGCGAGTGGCCGCCAGTAGCGCAGTGGGCTCGCGGCTTCGCATATTACACTTGCATGCTCACAACCCTTTGCTCGCTTGTGTTGCGTTCTTTGTGTTCGTCTCCACGAATTTTCGAGCAAAAGAGAGACTGCTTGCAGTCTATGTCTTCAACCAAGAAGTTTGCTTGTAACGTCAGAGAACAGTTGTTTCTTTATTGACTTGATTGTGATGAACCATTTCGAATTGATTTAGTGACAATATATTACTCAAGTTTTTCCATTTGAATCACTGGATTAAGTTTAAATGCTTTCAGTTCGCATTTAGGGGCCGGTATGTAGGATTCAAACATGCGTGACATTTCCCCTACGTGAATTACACTTGATTTAAAATTTAACTCGTCTATCATCATGAGATTCGTTGTGTAAGGTTGCATCGAGTTTCAGTTTAGTTCATCAGTTACTTCAATCTACCAGTTCCCATCAATAGGAGAAAATGTTCGGCGGGGTTCTTGCTTGGATGGGTTACCAAATATGAATACCCTGTGTTGTAATAACTTCTTTTTTTTTCTTTTTTTGTTTCTTCCCTTTCCAAGACGATGTTAGTGACTGCTGAACTCCCAGTCTTGTGTAATGTCTTTTTTTAATTTATCAACTATTTTGTTCAAATCATTTCGTCATGTGTGCATTCATCTTACAAAACTGTATAAATAATAGTGAAACGGGGCATTCGAATTCTCCTCAATTCTCGTCTGTTGATGGTCCAAAACTTTGTGAATCATCATTCGAAAACTCATAGAGCTCATCAATTTTGTGATTTTCAATATCTCCGCAGTTTTCGGCAATCAAGTATGGTTACACCTGTATAACCGGACACCTTCGGCAAATGAGCTATTTATATGATTAGCTTCTATATATAAACATGTTCGTGCGTAAATCTATTCAATGTAGATCATTTCTGTTGTAAGATATAGAGTACTTGCAAAAGAATTTCAAAGAATAACTAACTAGACTGTAAAATGATCTTGGACGGCGAGATGTTTGAACCCGGGAGGGGACTCCTATATGAAAAGGTCGGGGATGCTTGTCTTGGGTACAAATCAAGGATTCTGTTCTCACTTTGGGCGTTGATGAAACATCACCATTCTTAGTCAAAGTATCCTTTAGGGTGCACTCAAAGAAATAATAATAAAAGAAATGCTCTGATTTGTTTTCTGCTGATCTCTCAAGTGAGCGAATCGGGTCTACAAGTGCCTGCGGGAACCTTTCTAGCGCAGAGTGCACTATTGGGATGGTTTAGGGGGCTGCTGTTCGCTAAGGCACTAATGCTATAATGCCATAATGCCATAAGGTGTAAACTTGAATGTTTGTTTAATTAATTAATCGGGATGTGGAAATGGCGAATATGTTAAGTGAAAGATACATTTCATACAGAATCATACACAAATTGTAGTGCTTTTCCTTATGGTAGAACAAAACATGTAAGATGCATGCATTCTAGCATTGTTAGTGTGATAAACTCTGTTTTCCAGTTCAACTCTGCACGTTTTTTCGAGTAATACCACAAATTCATATTCAGCTGAAACTTTCTCGTGTTAGTTACATGTAAAACTACTAAATCTGTGACCACAGATTAAGAAACTTCACAATTATTGCCGCAGACTCTGTGGCACTTACTGAAACCTCCAATTAATTTCATCAGTCTTTGAGGTTACTTGCTCACCGATGTAGGATATAATTTTGGCCAAGTAACGATTTCTACCTTCAATACTTCTTGTTACAACGCTCCTCAGTTGTATTAATCAATAGCATTGTGTATTAGTTTGACGTGAATAAGAACGCTTTATTCTGTGACTCTACTGACTATTTGATAATTAGATTAGTTCTTGTTTATCGGTGAAATTGAATAAAACAAAGTTGTTCCTCTTCGATTTCTCATCAGATATTTAACTTTATTCCACTTATCTCCAGCAGTAAGTAAAAAATATACATCTTTCTTATATTTTCGAGGAACCAAGGGTATCACGTTGCATACCTTGGCGACGAAAACAAAAGTATCAAGTTACAAACGTTAGCGTGAAAAGTAAAATTGTCACATTTGCCACTTCTGCGTATTATTGAATTTAAACTGACTGAAACTCAGCATAAAACACCACAATAAAATTCAAAGCCTTCTTGACAAATGTTAATTGTAAATTATTTTTGGGCCTTGAAGGAAAAAACAAACATGAAACATGCACACTACTAAGATTATGTCTTATCAAGTTTTGTCCACTCATATTTTGCAAGGGGAAAATGCCTAGCTGAGTACCAAGGGAGAGAACGGCATGGGTGAGGACTTACGTGACTACTGTATCAGAGCCGTAAAATGCACTCTGCACTATCTGAGATTGTCTCACTAGTTTGAACAGTGGCTAGTAATTGAACCTATTCCATGTTGCATGGTATCTTTTAAGGGTCTAATGAAGCTCGAGCAAAGCCCACATTAGTCTTCTTTAGCAGCTAAATTCAAATTTTCCGATGAGCATCCCTGACCTTCTCATATCGGAGTTCCCCCCGGGGGTTCCAAATGTCTGACAGGAAGTGACCCAGTCAAATCGTCCCATCACTACGTGGAAATAAATATAAATATTTTCCAAGTTAAAAAGTAAATTAAAATTATTTACACAAGGTTCGTACTCTTTGAGCTTTTAAAATTCCAACACTTTCCAGGACCTTTTTGAGTTTTGCATGACCTAAGTTAATCAGCTGTTCTGTCAGTATTGTCACAACAATTATTATTTATTTCAGGTATTGTCCAACATTATAATGCATAAAATCTGTGCTTGTGTTTATTTCCATTGAAATTAAGTCAGTTTCTGACTCATTTGTGTTTTTTCCATTTTTTAAAAATCTTTTTGCCTCTGTATTCTCGGAAAGCATATTGCTTTTCCATGACTTTTCAGGCCTGGAAATTGAAATTAAAAATTCCATGACTTTCCAGGTTTTCCATGACCCATACGAACTCTGTACAATGTAATCTATTCACCACAAAGTTTACAGCAATTACTATTATTAGTAAAAGTCTGATAAGTTAAGCTTTCTGATTCTGTTTCCAAAAGTAGTAAGAGAAATTATTTACATGAATCGGTTAGCTGTGTGGAGTTAAAAAGAGATGGATCGTATTGTTATGTATCGTTATGTATCGTGGCATCTCAATCATTACATACTGCGGAATCTACATTCACTTAGCTTTCAAATGGCATATTTCACTTAGAAATCTGTGGAGACGTAGTGGAGAAAAAAAATTATGTACGTGAGTCAGTTAGCACTGGTGACTTGATCACGCTGCGACCCGAGAGACCCGAAACATGGCACGAGTTATAAGTTATTTTTGAAAACTGAAATTAGCCTCAAAATAACTCACTTTTGACAAATCTGCTTTCCCTTAGCTACAAGATAACACATTAAGTTAAAAATCAGCTCAAAAAACAAATAGTTCAACCAATATAAAAAGGCAGTTTTAGACATGTGCAGCTCATGATGCTGTCCCTTTAAGTCTGGTTTTCACTAGCAATGCAAGCACAAGCGCAAGCGCAAGCACAAGCACAAGCACAAGCACAAGCACAAGTGTAAGCACAAGCACAAGCAATAGGGATGATCCAAGTATAAACGAAATTCAAGGTAATCTGGGTCCTGCGTATTTAGTGGCCAAACACAACCACATGTGGTAAATATCCTTGTGCTTGTGTTACGCCTGAGCGGTATTTTGTTTTCAATTGCTGCAGTGCAAATGCAAGCATAAGCGCAAGCACAAGAAAAAGGAAAAATTTTGATCCTTGTGTTTGTTCTTGCACTTATGCCTGCATCAAGGCCATTTTCACAGTGAAATAAGAATTATTGTGTTTGCACTTGCACTTGCGCTTGTGCTTGCGTCACTAGTGAAAACCAGGCTTAAAAGCTCCTGTTCGATTTGCGCTCATGAAAATTTTCATCGCGTGAGAGATTCTCTAGGCTCGATTTCCAACCATTTTGTGAGCCCGTGTACCTTGCCCCACACTCAGGTTTCATAAAATCCTCAAGCCTTCAAGATGCCGATGACTATGTGTGATTATGCAATAATATTGCATAACCCCACAAAAATTAAATTATATATTTTACTGGCCTTTAATAATAATAGTAATAGCCAATATCTTTTCATCTTCACAAAAAACAAGTGCCAAACAAAAACAAGCCAACCATACATACCAGTATACATATTATATACAAATATAAAAACAAAGTAAATGTAACTAGAATTTCACCTAATTACCTCAGAGATCATCAGACTACAATGGGCAACAAAAGTAGTTGAGACACTTTTAGGAAATGACGCTTTTCGATATTTAAGCACTTGTCCTATTTTATTTACATCTAGTGTTGATTCTCTTATACCCCCGGCCCCCCAATTCAATGTTGTGTAGGCACTGCGTTCTACGCAGTCTAAGAAATAGAAAAATCAACATTGTTTGGGGGGAAGGCGGGAAAATGTGTCCAAGATGCTCGAGAATCAAATTTTACTAACAAGTGTCTCAACACTTTTGTCACCCATTGTCCACAACAGTAAACTTGTTTTTGCTAAATAACAGGTGTAGTACTTGATTGAAATGTCTGCAATCGCTTTATTCCGGGATCTGGGTTTTTTTCATGGGCAAATATGGCAAGCTTACTCATTAGTACAAAAATTTAAGGAAATTATAAACTTTTTTGGAAGTGTAATCTTGCGTGACATCGCCAATTTAGGCTGTCGATCATCTCCACCTTATTTCTCTCCAAAAAAGGAATGAAATAATAAAGTACATGTAATTGTTGAATTACAAACTACCGGTGGTACTCCCAAAGCAGACTATAGAGTGACTCAAACGACCGCTGGACAAGAAAATCAACTGGTAACCACAAATTGACTAGTCAATATCATTTGGTTACCAGTGGTTACTCTTAAATACTCGAGGCTATTGGTGAAAAAACTGCATTTATTTGCATTAAATAATCTTTAATCCAAGCTGGACTGAAAAAGGTAGCAAAAACTTTGTACAACAGGAATTAAAATGAGACACTACGTTATAAAAGTAACTTTTCAGATCAGAAGGCACGTTTTATCGCTTTAGCGACAGTTTACCATGTGTAATGGCATCATTTTTATATCACACTTATGTGTTTGAAGCATTCTGTTAACAGCAGAATGCTGTTACTACCACTAATTAAATTACTTGCATGCATAAAAATAATGCATACAAGTAATTTAATTAGTGGTGATAAGTAACTCTTCATTTCTGGTTAATTATGGAATATTCATCTTGTAAGTAATTTTAATAAGGACATAAACAAAACTTTACATGTAAGTTTAATAAGTACACACATATAGAAAAAAGAAACTGTAATACAATAATAGCTTTTGAAGAAGACACTCAATAAAGGAGGGGGAAAAATGTAGCGAAAACCAATCACATCAAAAAACGTTATTACTATTTTGCTCACTATGGTGAAACTATTTGAAAGCAAATTTGAATAAGATGTAAATTAAAATTGTTGAACAACTGCTATCGAAAAAAAAATTCTGTTGACAGCATTGTTTAGCAGACAAAATTACAGAAGATCACCTGTTTTACCACACTTTTGAACTTCATGTCGTGAGTTCTCAATGTTTTATCAATGGTAAAACGTTAAAAATAGAATATATTAAATAACTTTTCTATATATTTTAATGGATTACCAATGGGAAACCGTTGGAAATTCACCCAGTAAAAGTTGAAAAGCACTCAAACCATCGGTTGATAGCAAATTTTATGTGATCAGTACAATGCCATTAATCTTCTGACACTTGTGTTACCAATCATCATGCTCTGAAAAACGAATAGCATTCATGAGGCAATATATGAAGGAGAGGAGAACCAATAAACAATTCAGAGAGAGAGAATAAGAACAAACAACAGAAACGGAAAGATACTCTTGAAAAATCATGGGAATGTCAAAGACTAGCTACCAAAACATTTAAAATAGCAAATCCTGTGAAAGTCAAACAAATGGAGAAACAAACAAAATCAGAAAGACAAGAACGTGATCTAGAGAAAGTTAGAGTGCCAAAGACAAGATTTTCTAAAATATAAAGAAGCAAATCCAGAGAAAGTCAAACAAATGGACAAACACACAAACTCAAAAGCACAAGAATGCAATCTAGAGAAAATTAGAGAGTGCCAAAGGCAAAGATTGAAAAACTATAAACAAGAAAATCCAGACAAAGTTCAACTATCCTTCAAAAGAAACAGAGCTTGCCTTCAAAATGTGATGGATAGTCCACAGAATTGAATTAATGATGATGACAATAGCGACAACCCTGGGCCAAATAGAGAAAGGCAAAAGCTTCTGGAGGTATAAATCAATTCAAACAAGAAACTACTAAACAAAGAAACGTTTTTGATGAGGAATCTAGAGAGCAAACTTACCACAGCAAAGAATGTTTCTACAATTTAACAATGCCTAAGCTAACTGAAATGTTTCATAGGAATATTAAATGTGGTCCAGAATATGGCTGTACTTGCTGTGATCAGTTATGGTACAGATCATCTGTTGCAAAATGTAACCCAAGTCTTAATGAAATATGCCCACAAAATATTCTTTATTTATGCCTGACTGGAGTTACTGTAAGAGTATAAATGACACTGAGTGGATTTGTTCTATACGTCATTCAACCTTAAAGATGGTAAATTACCAAGTTATGCCAAAGCCAACAAAATGACATTTCCTGATAAACAAGAAATACTAAACCTGACTGTTCTTGAAGAAAGGCTCATATCACTATGTATACCATTTATGCAAATTAGAGAATCATCCACTGGTGGTCAATTAAGTATTCATGGAATGTTATCAATGTAACAGCTGATGTCAACTTGATTGTAAATGTTCTACCTAGACCAGTAAAGGAATCCCAGACTTTTCCAGTAAAACTAAAAAGATGTCTTAGTTACAAACATTACTAACAATTTCAGAGCATCAGACCTAGCAAAGTTTTAGAAGCTGCAAAATACTTAGTTGGCAAGAGCAAATTATTTCAGAATGAAGGTGTACAAGTTGCAAACAGTTGGTTAGATACATTGAATGAAAATGACCAGGAGATGTTGCAATTTCTTGAAAGGAGTAGTGTGGAAAGCTCAAATACAGTTGAACACATTAATAAAAAAGATAAGAACCAGGGTGAACAGAATATGTCCGTAGGGAATGTTAAGTAAAACGACAACAGTGAAAATGACAGTGATGATGAGTGGTGTGAAGAAACACAATGTCCATCAGGAATTTTGGACACTTTGCTGCAAGAGCCAGACATGACTGAACATAGGGACAACGTAATGAGCTTTGCACTGGATGAAGGCAACAGACCTTTAGGAATATTTATTGATAAAGATTCAGAATGTTTGTCATTTCCCTCAATATTTTGCAGAAAACAAAGAGCTGATAACAGTGAGAGATTAGTGGCTGTGCATTACAATATGTAAGTGGGAGTTGCAAAGTCAGGATAGAAGAGTAGCACAGAGCGTCCCTAACATTTTTTTATAAGCTTAAGAAATTACAAATCAAGTAGATTCATTCAAGGTAGTGCATCACTTTCTCTTCGCAAGTGCAAAAGAAAGGGTAAAACGTACACAGCCGGTGATTTGAAATCAGCTGGTTTTTGGGAAACATTGATACACCTTGATGAAGGCTTCAGGGTATTTAGAAATCTAATGGGATCCCCTCCATACTTTGAGAGATGCAAAAAGGACTTGTTTGCAATGATGAGACAACTCGGTAAGCCTACAATTGGTTCTGTTCATCTTTAGCAGCAGAGACAAGATGGATACATTTGCTTAAAATATTAGGACGGCTTATTGACACTGACAACGAAATCCAAGTTATGATATGGCAAAAGAAATCAGACTTAATTAAAAGTGATCCGGTGACTTCTGCTAGAAACTTTGAACACATGGTCCAATTATTTCTGTGACATTTAAAAAGTTAACTGTAGCCTACATGTATTAGTGAAATAGCTGATTTTTGTGTGCGAAGCTCACATTAAGTTTGCAGCCAGAAGTTTGTCTGTTCATGAGAGTCACATGATTGAAAGGAATTCTACCAAGATGACTGGGCACTAGATTTAGATCTTATAGATGAGAATATTGGGTGCTAGTTGGCTTGTGCGAGTGGATTTTTTGCCTCCTTCATGTTGGCCGCTTCGCTTTTGTGTACCATTTATCGGTTTTAAGATACTTCATTTTTATTTTCCCAGCTTTCTGTTGCGAAGGTATGTTTTTTCTTTTACATGTATTGCTTGTTTTGAGATGATTATGTTGTCTGTTTGCATGTATTGAAAATCTATCGTCATATCCTTCATAATTTCGTATTTTACATGTAGATTATAGTTAACTGCATATCTGTTTTCATTTATCGAAAATCCAGCTTCCTAATTGCATGTAGGCTTTACAAATATTGATTGCAGTTGTTTTGCTTATTGATAGCTTTCTTTCATCATTCCTTCAGGTGTCCATATCGGGAGTTATTTTACTTACACAAGCCAACATATCAAGACTCAGCTTGTGGTTGGTGCAGGTTGCACTGGGGCTGGTACCCTTTCGCAAGCAAACACGTAAGTTTATCAGCCTGAATGTTCGTTGTAGGTTGCCCTATACCGCAAAGGAGTCATTGTACTTTCACAAGCCAACATTTATATCCACTTGAACTGACTGATGTAGGCAAGTTTTCTAAGTGAGACATACATGTATTGTCAGGGATTGCCAGGGATTATCAGAAACTCTCAGAAACTGAAAAAGACTGTATTGCACTTGCACTGTACTTGCATTGTTACAAATACACTTGAACAGTGTTTACAGTAACCCTGTTGTTGTGTTTTCAAGATCAAAAGATAGCATGTGAATCTCGGTTGAGCAATACCTGTCAAGGATCGGCCTTCATAACCATTTTGTGAATGCAAAGGATGCCTTATCATGTTTTAAGGATCAGTTCTGGAATATGATGCGTATGGCACCAATTACGGACAATGACGTCGTATTGCGAAAAATTTGCTACAATTCTCAGAGCCAAGACATAAATTCTCATGCCAAAATTGAAACAACTTGTTACACAGTACAAAATGTGGAATGAACTGTGATGCTTTGGTTAACACAAATGATGTGCTACGATGTGTACAGTGTATGTTCCATTACTTATAAGGCAAACAAATGATGTGGAGGAAAATCTAAACCCTACAATTTTTGATGTCCCTGATTCAACCGTCATTTTCTGGGAATTAGAGCATGCATAAAATGGATGTGTACCCCAACTGAACATAACGCTCTAAACGTAAACACTATCTAATATTACTTGCAAGGGGCTTCCAGAGTAACTAGCTTGTTTGTTTTAACAAATTTCGAGGTAAAACATTTGCCACAACACATTGGATATCAAAACAAATATTGAATCTAGGGGATTATTAAAGTTTAAGATAAGAATACTACTCTAAATTACTAAAATACTATTTTCTAACATGGACTAGCTAACATGGACATACAGTCTATCTTGGATCCTTATGCTTGTGCTGTTCATTTTTTTTCATATATTACTAAAGGACAAAGAGGAACGAGCAAATTTCTAAGAAGAGCTTCAGAAGAAGCAAGCTCTGGTAATGAAGACCTCATAAACAAAGTCAGACACACTGGAAACCAATTTCTACATACTGTTGAGATCAGTGCACAAGAAGCAGTATATTTCGTTTTGCAAATGCCTTTAAGAAGGTCATCTCGTGAATTCCAGTTTATTAACACATCCAACCCTCAGGAAAGAACATTCCTACTAAAATCAATGGATAAGCTTCAAAAACTACCAGGTAGCTCTGAAGATATTGAGTCAGATAACCTGATCAAAAGATACCAAAGACGACCAAAGCAATTAGAAGAATTATGCGTCGCTGATTTTGCAGCATGTATAACTGTGCCAAACAAAATAAAAGCCTGAGGTACAGAACATATCAGTCAAGTTAAAACATCTACATACATGAGATGACTGCTTACCTGAAAATGACAACACAGAAGTAAGTGAAGAATATGAACTTAAAGGTGAATTGAAACTAGCGAAAAGACAAAAATCTAAAATATTTATTATTCATTCAGTAAGATTTAACAAAATACAAGGACCCCGAAAATTACAGCAGAGAACAGTTAATACTGTACACTCTTTGGAGGAATGAAAACAAGGATCTTATACAACTGCAAAAGTTACCAAGAAAGATACGAACAACTCAAGAACACAGTAGCCCAGAACAGACATCAATATGATTGTCATGCAGAAGTGCTTGATGATGTAATATAAAATGTTGAAAATGACAAACTGGAAGAATTTGTGGATGTGGCCCCAGACACAAATAAACAACACAATCAATATGATTTAATGGATGATATTGGTATCTTTCCAAGAACTAATGACAATGAAGATCTTGTAGTAAAATGCATGACTGATGATAATTTTACAAAACTTGTTCATTCAATTAATGTGAAGCAAATGGAATTTTTCTTGAATTCCATCAAAACTAGTGATGAAACACTTAGAATTTTTCAAGTGGTGGGGCTGGCATTGGAAAAACTACATGTGTACAGTTACTAATGCTTTGTATGAAACTTTGATCAGATATTTCAATAGTGTACCAGCAAGAGGTGAAAACCCTGATGACATAAAAGTACTTAAAGTAGCACCAACATGAAAAGCAGCATTTAATATAAGTGGTAACACTCTTCACTCTGCTTTTAACATACCTGTTAACCAAGGTTTTGAGTATATTTGCACACTTGATAGAGACAGACTTAACACTATCAGAGCACAGCTGAGGAAACTTGAGGTTATTTTCATAAGTTTACAAGATTAGTATGGTAGGCAGTGGCATGTTCACGTTCTTGAATTTATGCTTACAGCAGCT